TGTTTCGGGGGTACAATAATAGCCACACATTAAGCAGCAAGTCTTAAAAATATATCTAAAACATTATACTTCTAAAAAGAATATCTGTAAATATATTTGTCATTTTATGAAATGAATTCACACGAACATAAGTTTTGTTGCAATCAATACACATAGGTACGAATGTACAGGTATATCACTGAAAGATACGACATAGAGATTGAAAATATACTAGTCATTGCTTTATCGTCATACTATTACATACGTTTTGTGCATTTCACTGTATCCGTTTGCCAAAAGGTTGATGTTTCGTCTTTACATTGACATTTGTAGTCACCAGTACTTGTTACGCCACACACAAGCTCCGACCCATGCACACAACTATCTGGTATCAGTTCATTGCATGATGCCCCATAAGCAGGTCCTGTAAAGATATAAAATGTGAAAATATTTATCTATATATACTTTTTGTGCGATTGTAATAAAACAAAAGGATTTAATGTAGGATTTGGACATTCGGGAAAAAGGTTTTTTATCATAATTAGAGATAATTTAAATTCTTCGAAACAAACATCTATAGTATCATCAATAGCATATAACAACAGAGAATGTGTCATCCTTTAAAAATAAAATTTTCCAGTAAATACAAAATTTGCGCCTCTATTTAATCACATTTATTTTAGCAAATTGTATCAGACAAATTGAAAACAAAAATATTTGGACAAGGAATTTTGAATTGCTATTTCCCGTCATATCCAAAAATATTAATGTCACGGGCAAAATAGTATCAAATAGCTCTGACGCGTTTCGCAACGTTAAGATTTTCCTTTAGTTTAATATTGTTTGCTGTTTTCAGACGTCTCAAGCAATAAGACTATGGATGTATGACTCAGATCTAAAACACGTATAAATCTTACGTTTTTGACACGTGTCTGTCGTATTCTCCCAAAATGTTGATGTTTCATCTGCACATTGACAAAGATAGAGCCCGGATGTTGTAGATTTGACACACTTAAGCTGGGAGTTGTGTCGACAACTGTCCACTTGTTTGGAATCGCATTCGTCACCATAAACCGGTCCTGCAAATGTATGTCAAGTCCCTTTTCAGTTTTAGTCGGAATTTGATTAAATAAAGCAAACACTGTTATCTAACGGGTTTTTACAAAAGAGCAAAAATTGATTAAGTGAGCATATTATGATACCATCTCCAAAAAGTCAGTTTTACATTTGTTTGAAAATAAGATTACCTGTGATGTGACTTATGCAGGACATTTTTTTTACGTATTTAAGTAAGTAGTAAAAGAGTGTACACTTTTGCATCATTAGCTGTTTTCATTTTAACCTCAGATAAACGAGAACATTTGTAAAACGCCGAATTTCCTTCTTTTTTCCTCTTAGTTTCTACTTTTATCATAGCGCTCTTTTTTATAACAAGTGCTTAAACATATCCCTCGAATGTGCCATTTTCGTATTTTTCCGCTTAACAAATATTAAATGTCACTTTTTTATTGTTTATAAATCATTCAGATATCTGATTTTACCGCAAAATTAATATGAAATTGCACTTGGTATATACGCACGTGTTTTGCAGGTACTACTCTGAAAATCCCAGTAAGTTTCTTTCTCATTTTCACATTGACATTTAGGAAGTGAAGATCCTGGAGGCGTTATACACTTCAGCTGAGAGTTGTGTAAACAGCTTTCCTTAAGACCTGACTTGCACGAATGACCATAATCTGGGCCTGTTTAAACGTTTTGTAAATAAATAAATAAAAAGTAAAATATATAAATAGATACAAGAAATGAATTATAAAAAAAATGTCATGAAAAAAAAAAATATGATACAATAATTATAATGCACTACATCATCAATACACAAGGACGAATTCCAAACTTATATTTGAAACGAAATGACAACATAGTTTCCTGAGGAGACACCAAGAGAAAGGAAAATATTTTTAAGTGCCCTACAAAAAAAAGATTTGTAAAGATAACTGAGAGCAGATTGAAACCATTAACAAAACCGCAAATGGAAGCAAATCTTTCATTGATCATTTGTCGTCATCAAACTCAAACTTTTCTTATTATTCATAAACGTTAGTATTCACGACAATGATTTAGTTTTATACTCACGTTTGTTACAGGCGTTTTGATCAGGATTCCAAAACGTGAGAGTTTCGTTTCCACACTGACAGATAAAGTCCCCAGACTCAGTCGAAGGTAGGCAAACCAGGTCAGATTCATGCATACAACTGTCCGAAAGTTCCTCTTGACATGCATTTCCATATTCAGGTCCTAAAACATTAGTTATATTTACTTATTTGGTCACAAATATTTACCTTTTTTTCAAAAACATTTGAGGAAGGAATAAAAATTAATTATTGTTTATTTATAGAATTCTATTACCCGCTAAAACAAGCTTTTGAAAAATGTATCGGTAAAAAAAATGAAGATTTTCATGAGATATTAAATTAATCAACAAATTCCACTCACGATTATTACAGATTGAAAGGTTGGGATCCCAGAAAGTTTTCGTTTCATCGGCACACTGACACGTGTAGTTCATCGTAGATCCAGCAGCAATACATCGGAGTTGGTCATTGTGCTCACAGTTTCCGGAAATATCTTTGTCACAAGCACCTCCATATGTTGGCCCTACGAGGGAAAATATTTATATCATGAGGCATATAAACTCATGGTTGGCCTGAGGTTAGGCTAAGGTATTGCGATCGTCGGCGAAATTTAATGTTATAACCTTACTTTTAAATCGCAGAATTATTTATGTTATCATAAGTTAGATCAAGTATAATCAGTTTGAGACAAACTTCGACATGTCGAATATCCTTCCTATCAGGTCGTATTAATTTGCTTAGATAAACTAGAGTAAGTTACCTGAATGTGAATACCCCTTGCTAATAAAAAGGTATCCGGTCTGCTGGATGCATCGAAGACTGAGGAGATTAGATTGCATCTCATAACTCGAACGGCTGATTTGGTCTTTTTATTTACAGTATTACCCAACCCCATGCGATTCTCTAGTCAGCACATGTTTGACCTGATCGTAAAATCGTAGTTTTTTCTTTTTGTTTTCCATTGGTAAAAAATCCAATAGAAATCCCCAATGACATATGAAATGTATCGCAAAAGCAATTTCAATTATTAGTTGATACGGGAAATAGATCATAACTATATTTACTTATTAAAAGTCACTTACTTGATCTACATTGTAATAACGTGCTATCCCAATAGGTTGAAGTTTCGTTTTTACACTGGCATAATGAGTTCCCAGTATTTCCTGTGTCGATACATGCTAAATCACTGTTATGCCAGCAACTGTCAGGGAAATTTGCATCACACACGTCACCATAACTTGGCCCTGAATTGCAAAACAGGCAACAAAAAATCAACATAAACATTACATATTGGACAATGAAGTGTCGACGTCAGAAGAACTTATCACTTATCAATAACATATATTTATGAGGCTTGTACCTAATGAGATACCAGAGGAAAACAAATAAACCCAATCTGCATCGTTCTTCTCCTATTTATTTGGGGAAGAGGAGTTCATGCATGCATTCCAAACGACCGCTTCCTGTCATCAGGTAGGTAAACAAGACCCGAGGTATAGGTCGAACGTTCTTGGTACACTTTTAAATTGCATTTGCGTTTCCCGCATCAACCTTATTCCAAATAGTTTGAAAATGTTATTGTAAATGAATATCACATTAACCATTAATTCAAGTATGTACTTGGAAATATCTCTTTCTTTCTTTCTTTCT